CGTCGGTCAGTACCAAAGGAGAGTGCCTCCCTCTGCCCCAAAGGACTGCTCAGCCACAGCCTGTCGCTCCCTGAGCAGCTGTGCGTCAGGGCCCATGGGGGCCTCTAATGCCCTTTTCTTTTCTTTTTCTTTGTTCTTTTTTTTGAGACAGAGTCTCACTTCTGTTGCTTGGGCTAGAGTGCCGTGGCGTCAGCCTAGCTCACAGCAACCTCAAACTCCTGGGCTCAATCGATCCTCCAGCCTCCCGAGTAGCTGTGACTACAGGCATGCGCCACCATGCCCGGCTAATTTTTTTATATGTGTGTATATATATTTAGTTAGCCCATTAATTTCTTTCTATTTATAGTAGAGATGGGGGGTCTCGCTCTTGTTCAGGCTGGTCTCGAACTCCTGACCTTGAGCAATGCACCCACCTCGGCCTCCCAGAGTGCTAGGATTACAGGCGTGAGCCACCGCACCCAGCCTCTAATGCCCTTTTCCAATCCTGCCCGCAGCTCTCACCACACACACTCTCGTCACAAACAGGCCCACGGAAGCAGCTAATTCAAACAAACTCCGCCTGGGCGCTGACAGCCTCTGGTGGATGTGACGATGCAAACAGGGCCTTTCTCCAGGCTGCGCCCACCCAGCCCTAGGCCAGGCGGTGGGGGCGGGGTTGCACCCAACCAGCCCGCATGGGCACACAGGCCCAGGCCCCCGCCAGCCACGCTGGGCTCGGCCAGCAACACACTCCCCACAGTCACACGCGCTCACCACCGCCCCGCCACGAGCGGGCACGGGAGAGCCTTGGAGCAGCAGACGTGAGTTCCGTCCTCTGGAGGCTGTGACATTCCCCAGACGGCTCCAGCAAAGTGCCTTAAAGGCAGAGGACTGGGGGCTGGTGACTCCAGGCACAGAACTTCCTGGCAGTCTCTTGTATTATTGTAAACATGCTAGCCAATTTTGCATTCTAATCCGTAATGTGCCATTTTCGTCTTCCCAACAGTCATGAGAATGACAGGCACTGATATATAAGGAGCACGTGCCCTGTTTTAGGCACTGTCCTGAAACACTGTCCTGAGCTCTCTCCACATCTCACTTCGTGTGCTGTGCCAAGCCTATGGGTGGGCACCATAGCACCCCCATGTTACAGATGAGGACTGGAAGGCATAAAGAGGGGGGCCACGTGCCCAAGTGCCAGAGCTGGGACAGGAACCCAGCCTGCCCCCAAATATATTCCTTTAACAGCCTCCTGGATATAATATGTAAAACAGTTTTTAGTCACTTAACTGCCCATCCCCCAATTTTTTAAGTGAAACTGAAGCTCCAGGACCATTGCCCCAGTGAGCCCTGTGGCTGCATGCACTGGCCTGCCCCACTGAGACGTCCAAACGCTTGCAGGACCTGCCTGCAAAGTTCAAGTTCTAGACACTGCAAACTGAGAAGCCCCCCTGCCAGCCAGGCCCCCTCCTCTGGCTTCCCAGACCCTGGCGTCTGGCCCCTCTGCAGGCTCAGGTGAGCCCAGGTCCCAGACGAAGCCCCTTCCCTCCCCTCCTTCCTCTTCCCTTCCACAGTGACAGAGTTTCGAATCGTAGCATGTTATTTCCCAGCTCTAACCCATAAGGGCCTCTTGGTTCCCTGAGCCTCGGGCCACCTCCAGAGCTGCCACATACAACAGGTGCCTGTGCCACAGTCCACGGCCAAGACTTTGTACCCAAATTGTCCAGTGGAGCATTAGCTTGGCCCGTGTCCCAGGCCACCAATCCTGTAATCAGCCCATTCCCACCACCCCGTCTGAGTCCTGGGCTCAGGCCCTAAACTCCAAATTATGACCCAACAGAATCTAAAATGCCAAGTGCCCCCTCGCTGTACTTCCAAGGGTCACCCCCTTTCCACTGCATTCCCCCATCCTGGGGCCCAGTGACCACCCAGCTCACCAGTCCCACCTGCCAGGTCGCGCTGGAGACTCCCGTGCCTCTGGGATGGGCGTCTTGTCCACCTGCCTAAATCTCTAGCACTGGCATGGCCAGCACGCGGGCTCCTGGCCCACCCCTGTCCTGCCTAAACGGAGACCCTACACGAGAGGGAGAACAGCAACGTGGTCACGCAGGAGGAAGCGGCCAAAGATGAGCGTCTTTGGTGGGCCTGAAATGAGTCACTGGCAGTCCCACTTCTGGGACAGTCCCCCCTTGAGTGTTTAGATGGAAACAGTCACTAGCTCTTGTTCCCCGGTCACAGAGTAAATCTGGGTGAGCCTGGAAACCGGGGAGACACGTGCTCGTAGCAGCCTTGGTCACAGAGCCAGAGGGTGGCAGCCGTCCAGTGCCCGCCTGTGGATGAACGGATTCGCACAGTGTGGTCCATACAGACAACAGAACGTTATTCAGCATTAAAAGGGAAGGACATTCTGACACATGCTACAGTGTGGAGGAACCTTGAGGACATCATGCTACGTGAAATAAGCCAGTCACCAAAGGACAGACACTGTGTGATTCCACTCATGTGAGGGACCGAGGGCAGTCAAATTTACAGAGACAGAAAGCAGAATGGTGGCCGCGGGGCCGGGGGAGGGGAGCACGGGAGTTGTTGATTAATGGCTATGGAGTTCTGTTTTATAAAAGGAAGAAGTTCTAGAGATTGGCTGTGCAGCAATGTGAATCTACTCAGCTCTACTGAACTGTACACTGTAAAAAGAGGTTATATTTTATGTTATGTGTATCCTACCTCAATTTAAAAATTTTAAAATAAAGGTGGGGAGAATAAGTAGATTGCATGTGATTACATATAATCCATCTCCTATTTGCTTGGAATCGCATTTATAAGAAGCTGTGCTGAAGGGTTTGGGGAGGAAAAGATCTGGATGTTTCCTGGGCCCCTAAAAGGTGACGCTGGCACCCACCCTGCTCGCTGCCCAGTCCCCTGGTCTCTCCGCCATTTCTGGACAGCCAGCGCCCTTGCTATATCAGATGTGGACGTGTCTTTGCCGTCACCGTGCTGCCAGGCTAGCTGTCCGCAGGGCGGACGTCCTAGCTGCTGCTGAGCGCTTCCCACAGTGCTCGCAGTCCTAAGGGAGCGCCCAGCGGGCAGCCCCAAACCCTGGGCACATCCTCCCAGAGGCTGGGGAGGCCACACTTCCGCTCCCCAAGGAGGAGTGTTGGCTCAGCCCTGGCGGGGTCCTCAGCCTGGCCCTCCCGCCCCGCCCACCTCCTCCCACAGCCCCGGGTCCCCACAGTCACAGCCGCAGTTGTGTGACAAATGATCCAGGAGGTCCTGGGGACGCCGTCTCATTCTGCAGGCGTTATTGTGCCTGACCCAAACCCAAATACCCAGGCCCCAGTCTCCCGGGTGACACCTGAAGGCCCCGGTTTCCTGGCAACCAGGAACAATGGCCCCTGGGAAAAGCACACACAGTTTGGGAAAGGGCAGCCTTTTCTCTCTGCGCCCCTGGGTAGGATGGGGAGCAGCGGCACTTCTGCAGGCAGAGTCTCCAGTCCAGCCTCGGAGGAGAGGGGCCTCCCTCGCCCACCTGCTCACCCTGCCCGAGCTGCACGACCTCTCCCACCTGGGGTGTTCCAGCGGCTCTCTGAGGGACAAAAGCCCCTCTGAGCTGACCCACTGCCCATCCTCTCCCTTGGCAGGCATCCCTGCACCACAGGCCCCCAGAGCTGATCAAGGTGTTCTGCTGACTTCCATCGTCATCTTTTCCCCTTTGATTTCCTGGCTTCCCAGTTAGATGATATGGTCCCGGAAGAGCGGAGAAAACTCAGGCGTTGACGTCAGACAGCACTTGAATAAATAAGCATCCCTCCCGGCCACTCACTCACTCACTGTGCAACCTGGGCAAGTCACCAAGTGAGAACACTCAGTGCCCCATCTGTGAAACTGGGATAAAATGGCTACACGCGTTGGGCAGCTCCACAGGAGCACGCGGGAGCACACAGCAGTGGTGACGACTCCCCTTTCTGGCTCTGGAGTGTCAAAAGACGCAGAGACCCCGATGATCTGAAAGAGACCGAGCAGGTCCCCGAGCTGACTGCACCCTTCCCCTCATGCCCCCTGACTGCAGACGGTGGGAGAGCTGGACTTCGTGGGCGCAGAATCCAGCCCCCAGCGCCCCCGCAGATGCCAGGGCTCCGATGAAGTGCTGGCACCTCCTCTCAAACCAGGAAATCTCTAGAGAACCCTGGTGAGTTGTGAAGGTTGCCACTGGTGAAATAACTCCTGCCTGAAAGGCTTTTTTTTAACTCACCCAAGTCCTGCTCATCTAAAAAATTCCTTCTGATTGAAACCCGCAAGGCAATTTCTGCAACGTTCACCACCTGAATTTTGAGTCATGTTCTTCTTCTCTACCCTCTGTAGTTCCTGGGACTCCGTGTCACCTCCCATCTCCAACGAGACAGGAAGGGAGCAAGGGCTGTGGCTTCCATTTTAGGACAGCACAAGCAGACTCAAAGTCAGCGAGGCCACGGGGGTGTGGGTGTGGGCGGGTAATGTCACAGCTGGGGCCGGGAGGCAGCGTGGGCATACAGCCCAGCCAGCCCTGCTGGCAGAGGGTGCCAGGAGCAGAGGCAGAAGCTTGCAGCACAGATCACAGGGGACAGAAGGCCCCTGGTCCAGGGGAGCAAGAGCTGCTCAAAATCACAGACACGAGAGAAGACAGGCAGCAAAAAGGCCACAGCCAGATGACACCAGGGCCAAGGATGCAGTGAGGCACCGGTGCTCCGGGCAAGGGCTCAGGTGTGGCAGACCTGACTTCTCATCACCAGACGCAGCAGCACCAGCGAGCAGCAGGGCAGAGGGCCAGGCTCAGGCACCCCTTCCCCAGGGGACCTCCTGGGGCCCCCTCCAGCTCCGGTGCCTCTGTTCTAGGTCCCCGAGAACCACAGTCCTCTCCTGCATAGCACCCACCTCTGCTCCTTTGCTGATTAGAGCAACAGCACGGTTGCTTTCTGTCTCTGCACTTTGCGATGCAGCTAAGCCCTGTACCACCAGCCATCTGAGGTTTAGGATAATACTCCTCCCCTCTAGCTCACGCCACTGCCATCCCCACCAGCACCCACCAGCAGAACTCACAGCCCTTTCTCTCACCACGGCACCCCCAGAGACCGAAATGAGGCAGACACAGAAATATTTGTTGAGTGTGTTAGAAATGAAAGATTAAAGATCTAACCCAGGAAAAGCCAGAGGTCTGCAGGCCCAGACTGAGACCCCTGTGCCCAGGTCTCCAAGGCACGGACTTCATGGATGGCACCCGGCACGCAAGGCGGAGCAGCCTGGGAGCCAGCAGAGCCACCTAACTAATTAGTGCCCGGGATTTTGTGCCCTCCGCCATCGCTTCAGTGTGCATGCATGCGTGTGTGTGTGTGTATGTGCGTGTGTGTGTATGTGCGTGCGTGTGTGTGTGTGTGTGTGTTGGTACACAACTCCATCCTCCCCCCAGGAGGGAGGCCCTGCAAGGTAACAGTGGGCCTGCAGAGCCGGGGCGACAGCATAGCTGCTGCTCCCAGAGCTGACGTCGCCAGAGACTTGGCGCTGCCCACCAGCATCCTCACACCGGCCCTGTGAAGTAGGGCCCCCATCTCACAGATGAGGAAATAGGCTCAGGAGTTACACTGAAAGAGCAGCTGCAAGACTTGAACGCAAAGCCCACACTCCCAACCAGAGTGCACTGAGCTTAAATGCAGGAGGCCAGCCAGGCACGATCTCGAAGAAAAAAAAAAAGGTAGGGTTTCCTTGGTAGGCAGAGAGCAAGAAGCAGAAATGAATCAGCAAGGGTGAAAGAGGAGAGCGTGGTGACTTGGGAGTTGGAACCGAGCTCGGGGAGAATGCCGGCCCCTGCAGGTTGAGCTGGGCAGCCCAAGGCCCTGGAAGGCAAAAGGCCCCAAACCTGAGCACAGCGCAGAGGTAAGTCCAGGGGGGCGGCTCTCCCTGGTGCTGGGCTCCGGGCCTCCTCAGAGGACTGCTCCACCAAGGGAGGGAGGGCTGCAGGAGGGATTTAAACACCCTTGGTCCAGCCTCCTGACCTGCAAGGGACAAAGCTGGAGACCAGCTCAGCGGGTGGGTTTTTGGTTAAAAACATTTCCCTTAGGCATAGAAGGGATAATTCCATTTTGCCTGCCCTAAAGAAGAACACCCCAGGAACCAACACCCCCTGCCTGGGGAGGGATGCAGAAGGGACGGTGGCTGGCCAGGCACTCAGGCCCTGCATGGGCTCCTGAATGTCTGGGGTCTTTGGGATGATGATGGAATTAAATGTTGGGGTGGGGTCTCGGGCTGGCTAGCCTGAGGTGTCAGCACCTGCATTTAGCACCGGGCTAAATAAAGAAAGAGGACTAATAAAACAGTATCTGAAGGTGCTGTAAGTTATGATAAATGTGTCCAAACAAATTCATAGAATTTACAACACTAGGAGTGAACCCTAACATGAACTGTGGACTCTGGTAACGGTGTGTAGGTTCGTCCGTTATGACAAATGTGGCGCTCCGGTAGGGGGGTTGACAACAGGGGAGGCTGTGCCTGTTGGGGGCGGGGGCACATGGGATGTCTCTGCACCTTGCACTCAGTTTTGCTGTGAACCTAAAACTGCTCTAAAAAATAAAACCTTTTTTTTTAAAAGGGGGTTTTCCATGAAGCTAAGGAAGTTTATATTTCACGGCCCCTCATTCTCATGGGCCCCTCCTACAGTGTGAGTGGGTCACAAACAATGTATCCATAAGGCATTATAATTTTGTAAATTTTTCAGAGCAATATTTTTATATGCTTGCTTTTAGAAATCCCCTCATTTAAAAAAGAAAGAAAAGAAAGAAAAAAAGAAAAACAAAACAAAAAGCTTTAGTCTCTTTCCCCCACCCTGTTCCACAAAAACAACAACAATAACAACAACAACAAAAACCCATCTCCTTCTTACATGAAAATAAAAAACAAACTATCTCTGCCAGGCTTCTTACAGAGTACTGATGGGCATGATTTGCCCACCCCAACACGCTGCTCATGCCAAGAAATGAGCCAAAATGAGTGATCCCTCCATGTTTAACAAAGCTCCTAATTGCAGAGTGGGCGAGATTCAGAGGCACATTGTTGGTGAATAGGAGGCAACACCGTGTCCTCCGGGCATGGGGAGACATGCCCGGGGGCAGTGGCGGGGTCACAAGGAAGCCTCTCAACCCAGGTCCCCTCTGGGCGTGAGCTGGTATTAACAATGCGGACAGGGGATCGGAACAGATTGAACAGCCGAGTCCTGCCTGTTAGAGTCAAAACGGATAACTGTCAAACCCTCGCCCTCAACAAAGACTGATGCTCTCAGAGTTAAATGAGCTGGAAAGACCAGCACGCACCCTGCCAACCTGGTCTCCACACCGAGACGATGTGCAGTGAGTGGGATCAGAGAAAAGGGAACATTTTTGCTGATTTACCTCCAGTCCCCCTGATAGCATAAAAAACAACTGCATTTTTATTTCATTAAAAATGTTTTCCTCCTCTTAAATAATAAAGGAAATTCTTTATAGACTCTGTCCAGCCAGGAAGCATGAGCTGCTAACTGAAGCACTTTAGAGAGAGACCCTGTCTTCATGGCTCATTTCTCCCTTACTGGAAAGAACTCCACATGTTTGATATCCAGACCAAATTTCCAGAATCTCAGCTGCATTTGGTTGCTTGATTCTCTTTGTTAAAAAAAAAAAAATCAAACTACAAATTATCAAAAAAAAAAAAAAAAAAAAACACCTTTGGAAAATTTTGCTCCAACATATTCTAAGTATAGGATGAGGATTAAGATGCTGGAAATGTCTGGGCAAGGTGGCTCACACCTGTAATCCTAACACTCTGGGAGGCGGAGGTGGGAGAAACATTTGAGCCCAGTAGTTGGAGACCAGCCTGAGCAAGAGCAACACGCCATCTTTACAAAAAAAAAAAATAGAGAAATTAGCTTGGCATGGTGGTGCACACCTGTAGTCCCAGCTACTCAGGAAGATGAGGCAGGAGGATCCCTTGAGCTCAGGAATTTGAGGTTGCAGTGAGCTATGATGACACCACTAGCCCAGGCAACAGAGCAAGTCTCTGTCTCAACAACCAAAAAAAAGATGCGGAAATGGAATTGTTGATGGAAAATACAATATTGGCAGGACTCAAAACTTGAATATATGGAGGGCTGACTTTTCATATATGCAGGTTCTGAAGGCTTATCACCAGACTTGAGTATGCACAGATTTTGGTATCTGATGGGGGAAGGGTGGGCTGGAACTAATCCCCCGAGTATACCGCGAGCCGACTGTATTTGGGTAGCACCAGACAATACTACATGCAGAGTCCAGATGTAAGCTGCATAATGGCATCCCCATATAAGGGCCTCAGAGTCACCTGCGCCTTCAGAAATGCACAGTTGACACCTGAATTCGCATCCACCATCAGCAGATGGCACTTACAGACAAGGGACACACTCCTATAGGGAGCCCAGGGGACAGAGTCACTGTGGCCTGTGGTCAATGTGCAAATGACCAGTTGTGCACAGCCTTCCTCAAGGGACAACTGAGATCTCACGCCATGTCCAGCTGGCTGTGAATGATGCTATTTAAAATCATCAGTAAATCAGCTCCAGCCCTTGCTTACACAGTTTACTGTAAGGCTCTGCCCAAAATGATTCCTTCCCCTTTGTTTCCTATGAACAGAGCTGTGACTTGTAGGAAACTGGTTTGTTTTCTCCAGTTGCCTTTAGAGGTTACTCAGAAACCCAGAGGCAGTGACCACATTTCAAAATATCTGAGACAGAAGGTGGGGGCGGGTGGTGTTGGAACAGCTGTGTAACTGACAAGTGCACCTCTGTCCTGGTGAAATACGATTTTTCACTTCCATTCGTTTTCTTTCACATTCCATTTATTTCATTTCATGGGCACTGAGAGGGAAAAAGCCAGGCTACCAACCTGCCATCAAATTTGCACAGCCTACATCACCCACTTGAGAAATCAGCCGCCGCTGCACCGCCAGCCAACACCGTGCCTAAGCCCAAGACCGCATCCAATCCCTCCTGCTATTTCCTGCGCCCGACAAGTGACTGCAGGCAGCAAGCTTGTGATAAGCCGGCTGGGTGAATAAATCCGTCCATGCATCCAGAGAAGGAAGTCAGGCCGGGCCCCCAGCCCGAGCCGGGGAGAAGGCTCAGGAGGAGGGCTACATTTCAGCCGTCTCCACGATTCCTGCCACCTTCAGGGGGGACACGCACCATGGGAAACTGAAGTCTACCTCGCAAACGCCAGCCAGGAACGACACTAACGGTTCTCGCCCACAGCCAGGAGCGCTGGAGGAGAGGCGCCCTGGCCGCTCCCGTCCGCTGCCCGCCCTCTTTTCTCTTCCCTCCTAAACCTGTTCTACAGCCCGTGAGAGGAGAGCCCGTCACACACACGGATACTAATAGGTACATAAATAGGAAGTGATTTTTGCCCCTGTGTTTTGTTTTGTTTTCTAAGAAAAGAGTATTACTAACTTGATCAGAAAACAGTGGTCTGTGAGAGAACCAAACCTCCACCCACCGCACACTGTTCTGGACGCTGGGACGCCCCTGGTTGTTTGGGGAAGCCCGTGGGAGCCACCAAAGTCCAAATACAAACTGCTAAATGGCTTCCTCCAAAGCCCCAGGTAATAAATATACTGTCCCCTTTGAGAGCTGACACGTCCAAAGGATTCCCCTAGAAATGGCATGTGGAGTTCCGGGGGCCTCAGCGACCAGGAAAACCATGTCTTTGAATCCTCCCGCGGGGGCACCGGGGCCTCTGTGGGACACGGCGTGCTCCCGCTGAACAGCTGGGGACCCCAAGTGGGCAAAGCCTCTCACAAGCTGGTGCCCTGGGGTGGGACCGAGCGGGGTCTCAGTCAGGTGCCCACGGCCCCCACTGGGAGTGGAGCGGATGGCGGCACGGACACCTCTTTGTGCCCGTTCCTGGCACTTAGCCCGAGGCGCTCCTCTTCCTCGCTGTCCTTCCCCGGGCCCTGCAGGGCGATGGAACCCCAGCATGGCTTTTCCCCTTCAAGCCATCCCTCACCCTGGCCACATCCCTGGGAGCGGGAAGCTCTCTGGCTTTGGTCGTGGGGAGGGTGAAAGAGCGGCCCCTGTCTCCCTGCCAAGGGGGGTGTCGCGCCACCAGAATTTATGTGCCAGCTTTCCTTGTACCAGCTTTTCCCAGGTTACCTCCCCACCCATTACTACCCCATTAGTTGCCATGTGCTTCTCCCTGACTGTCACCAGCCCACACTGCCTCTTTGTTACCCTGCAGCTCTCAGGCCGGCCCCTCCGGACAAGGGGCTAAGCCGAAACTGCGAATTGTGAAATATTTCCTCCCTCTCTCCTGTTCCCCCTCCCACCGCCCTCCTCCGGGCCCCAGAGCCTTTAGTAAAACAAACCCGCCAAAGGGAATTCTCCGCTCTGTTTGCACAGCACGAGTGGGCCCCGAGTTGCCTGGAGCCCCTCGTTCTCCATAAACACACTTCCCCTCCTGATTGGTATTCCGTCAATACCTTCCTTTCCGAGCCCTTCCCTGCTAGGCCCCCTCGATCTGCCGACAGAGGGCCTTTGTTGAGGGAGCAGAGGGGTGCAAACACCAGGGCTCCGAGACAACTGCGCTCGACTTCAAAGGCGCAAATGAGTCACTGCTCGGCAGGCGACGGCCCGGTGTGGGACAGGCCCAGGGGACAGCGGGCTCCTCTGGGCACTTCCAGTATCAGACCTGTCCCCAGGAGAATTTTGCTGGAGGATAAACTTTCTGTGTCTGTTTACAGATCAGACGTCATTTCCAAAGCAATCCGTTGATTTTTATTGTTCCAAATTTGACTCCAAAACGTGGGCCAGAATCTGGGGTCTGGTAAATATTTTGTTACACAGTTCGCTGGAACCGCTTTGCTGTAAGGGATGGCTTCCAACACCAGGAACTTGGGCTAGGGGACTTCCAGGCCCCTGCCGTCTGCCAGCCGCATGTGTCTGCAAGCAGATTAACCAACCCGAACGAACGCCGCTCAGACTGCCTATTCCCCACTCGCCGGCCGCCCCCCTTCTCCCTTGCAGGGGCTCTGCATCTAAAAGCACCCCAAGGTCATCAAGCCCAGGCTCCCCCAGCAGCTCCTGGCAGATGCGGATGCAGCTCCTCCTTGGAGGGCTCCAGGCCCGAGGCCACGCCAGAGCAGCCCACCTCTCCCCAGCCAGCGCACGCAGGAGGCCTGCCTCGAGCAGATCAAAACCCACTTCCACCCACCGGACCCAGCTCCTGGAACAAATTGGCTCCCTCATGCTCATGACAGCCCTTCACACAGATTTGAAAATTACTCTCTGGTTCCCCCATGTTTTTTCTTCATCACACCAAACAGCCCAAGGCACCTGGATTATTTCCCACGTGCAATGGTTTCCAGATGTCGCCCAGCGCCAGCTACCCTCCTCCAGAGCATGCTCAGTGACCTCCGCGCACTGCACACAGTGAAACACAGACCCTGGTACTGAACACTGTTCTCTGGGTGTGCTCGAGTCCACACAGACTAGAACACGGCTGTCGCCTCTCCTGGAAAGGACACTCTGCCTCTGTTAATTCAGCCCGAGACTACTATACACGCACTCTTTCAGCCACCTACGCACACTCGTGACCCCATCCTCAGCTGGAAGTCACAGGCCCTCTTCACAGGCGCTGCCACCAGGTCTCCCCTACTCAGTGCTTCCACAGTCACCTTCAGATTTGTCAATATTCAGTTTCCCCTCGTTGATCCCACCCAGTTCACGGAGATTGGTTTTCAATCTTCTTTCCATCATCTTGAGTACCGTGGCCAGCCCTTTGCAGTTTTGTGCTTCCTACAAATCTGCTGACTATTCCGTCTGTACACTCATCCAAGTCATTAACAAACATGAAAAACAGAGCAGAGTTCAGAGATGCTAAGTGACTTGCCTAAGGTGTCACAGCCAGATGGACACACAAGTGTCCTGGCTCCCTGTCCAGTGCTTGCTTCTCTTACACTCTGCCAAAACGTCCCCTGGATGCCTCAGACTGCTCCCTCCCCAGCCCTCTGCCACCCCCATCTCCTCACTGGTCCATCCCAAGAGACCCTGTTTATGGACAGGAAGGCCTGGTAAGGGCTGGCTTCCTGCGAGGAAGATGGGGAAACTGCCCCTTGGCTAAAGGGCCTTAGCTTATTAAGTCATACTGGCTTCCTGGAGCTATAACCCCATGCTTCTCAAATGAGAACCCCTGGAATAGCACCCCAACAGACCAGGGCAACAGGGCTAGAAGGACAAGGAAGTCCTGGGGTACTCCTTCACAGAGCTGCTGGGGATGGGTGGGGTAGAACAAGGGAGGCCACAGAGACTATGGGATACCTATGAATCTTGAAAGTAATCAATACAGTGCACAGATAGTTGTTTCAAGATGGCTTTAGCCCCATGACCTCTTATAAATAATTCTCACAGATCTGTCCTTGACACATGCATGGGTCCTTGAAGGATCTGCCAAAGACAAGGACTAGTTAAAGGGCTGACCCTTGGCACACACCCTTGCTCTGAGTATAACTCTAGAGAGCAGCACCAAGGTCACTGGGTGAACATGCTAGGAACACAGGTCATGGTTAGTACAAGGATTCCTAATGATCAGAGCTACCCGCCAACAAGACCAGATGTCTTGTGAAGTACCGAGCTCCCATCACCCGAAGTGTTTAAGCAGAAGCTAGAGTAGATGACTTTTGTCTCATTTGAATCTAAAGATCTAAGCTCCTGTGCCCTCATGTCTTCTGTGCTTCTGAGTAAAAATCCATCACTGAACCTCAAATAGCCAAAATAATTTTGAAAAAGAAGAATGAAGCTGGAGGACTTACATTTCCTGATTTCAAAACTTACTACAAAGCTACGGTGATCACAACAGTATTGTACTGGCATAATGACAAATTGACTGGCGGAATAGAACAGAGAGCCCCAAAATGAGCCCTTGTGTGTGGTCAAATGATCTTCACCAAGGGTGCCAAGACCATTTAATGAGGAAAAGACAGCCTCTGCAACAAATGGTGCTGGGAAAACTGGATATCATATGCAGAAGAATAAAGTTGGGCCCTTTATTTTAATAAAGTTGGGCCCTATTTACAAAAATCAACTTAAATGGATCAAAGACCTAAATGAAAAACCTAAAACAATAAAACTCCTAGAAGAAAACACAGGGGAAAGCCTTCATGACATGGGACTTGGCAATGAGTTCTTGGATATGACACCAAAGGCACAGTAAACAAAAGCAAAAATAGATGAATTGGGACTACATCAGACTTAAAACTTTGTGCATCAAAAGACACATCAATGAAATTAAAGAATGAAAAGGCAACCTATGGGATGGGATAAAATATTTGCAAATCACATATCTGATAAGGGGTTAATATCCAGAATATATAAAAAAATTATCTAACTCAACAATAAAAAATCAAATAACCCAATTAAAAATGGGAAAAGACTTGAATAGAAATTTCTCCAAAGATGATATACAAATGACCAACATAACTAATCAAATTATGCTCAACATAGCTAACATGCTCAACATAACCAATCATCAGAGAAATGCAAATCAAAACTACCATAATTTGGCCGGGCGCGGTGGCTCACGCCTGTAATCCTAGCACTCTGGGAGGCCGAGGCGGGCGGATTGCTCAAGGTCAGGAGTTCAAAACCAGCCTGAGCGAGACCCCGTCTCTACCATAAAAATAGAAAGAAATTAATTGGCCAACTAATATATATATATAAAAAATTAGCCGGGCATGGTGGCGCATGCCTGTAGTCCCAGCTACTCGGGAGGCTGAGGCAGGAGGATCGCTTGAGCCCAGGAGTTTGAGGTTGCTGTGAGCTAGGCTGATGCCACAGCACTCACTCTAGCCTAGGCAAGAAAGCAAGACTCTGTCTCAAAAAACAAAAAAAAAAAAAAAAAAACTACCATGATGTATCTCCTCACACCCATTAGGATGGCTACTATCGGAATAAAAAGAGAGAGAGAAAATAACAAATTTGGGTAAGGATGTGGAGAAATTGGAACACTTGTGCACTGATGGTGAGAATGTAAAATGGTGCAGCTGCTATGGAAAGCAGTATGACTGTTCCTCACAAAATTAAGAATAGAACTACCATATGATCCAGCCATCCCACTTCTGGGGAAATATCCAAAAGAACTGAAAGCAGGGTCTCAAAGAGACATTTGTGCACCCATGTTCATAGCAGCACTACTCACAATAGCCAAGAGGTGGCAGTAACCCAAATGTCTGTCACAGATGAATGGATAAATAAAATATGGTCTACACATATAACGGAATATTATTCAGCCTTAAAAGGTAAGGAAATCCTGTCACATGCCACAGCATGGATGAACATTGAGGACATGGTGCTAAGTGAAATAAGCCAGTCACAAAAGGACAAATATTGCATGATTCCATTTGTATGAGGTAC